CTCATGTAACAGCCTCAGAAACAACCTATATCCGTGACGGTCGAATGAGATCCGTATACCTGCTTTCCTGGTCGGCAGACTGGAGAGATTTAGACCACCCGCGATCTCTCTCCCGCCACAGGCAGCCCAGTGACGCGGCCACAGCCCTGACTGCGCCTCTGACACCCGAAATAAGGGTCCGTGACGACATCATATCTCTTCCCAAATAGTCGGACTTGGAAACTTATCTAAAAGGTGCCATGTCCGTGGAAGCTCAACCTGAGCCGTGAGCAGTGACCACATTCTTTTAATCGACTGGGCTGCAGACTTATACACCTTCTGGTACATGGAGGCGGTGAAGCGCTCCATTTTACCAGAGCCCCAGACCCTCGCTGTTAGCGATGTCCAGGCCACCCAATGTATGTCATTGCAATGTCATTTAAGGTGTATGGAAACTTAACTAACTTTCCACTGTTCCAACCATCACCAGCTCTGGTTTTTGTCGAAATTAATCGAAATAAATCCTTAATGATAAAAAACATGCGCACCCAGCCAGACCAGACCAAAGCACATACAGGCTGCGATAGCAACACAGGCAAAGGAGTGTGATGTCATTTTCTGCTCAGGACACCATGACTACACTATATCTTTACATAACTAATAGTAACTGTTAAAGCGGCAATACCCAATATTTTTCATAATAACAAAATAGCAAATGATATACAAAGTGAATGGGGTTGCTCGTAGAGATCAATCTACAGAGAATAATCAGCTGAATCTGCAGGTCCCCTCAGCTTTTTATATAGCTTTTTATATGGCTTTATAGGCCTATAGCAAATTTCACCTCATTGTTGATCTGTCTAGCCACAACTTTATTGTTTTGGTTTGTTGTTCCTCTCTGTAGCAGACAGCTGTTTTCAGTAGAAAAGCTTTAAAAACCCACTGTACACTACCTGCTCATTTAAAAAGGTTGACACTGGACATTAAAAAAAACATTGTCACTGAATGTAATTCGGGGTTTTTACAGAATCCTTTCATATCAACTTTCTGTCATGCCAACACTTATATCTCTGAGGATTTTGGATATGCCTGGTTCCAATGTGTGAAATCATTCCACTTGTCAAATTAGTATAACGTGCATCTTTGCACTGTACTTCTGGATCTTCTTGCTTGTTAAATCTTCTTTAAATTCCAAATCTGCTATGTGTTGTAATTTGAAAGCAAAGTGAGATAGTCAATGGACCTGAAATAGTCCATATGTATAATGCAGTTGTTTCTCTGTGAAATATGTGAATACAAACTCTAATCTGTTTGATATTTCTCTGCAGGTCCGGCTGTGCCTGTTGGAGTTGATGTTCAGGTGGAGAGCTTGGACAGTATATCAGAGGTAGACATGGTGAGTGGCTCAAATTTGTGTAGTGGATGTAATTTCACTTGAAAAAGAACTGAAATCTGCTGCAGATACTGAAAATAGTTCTAATCTAATTAGAATAGTTTGGGTGTAAAAACGGAGGATTACTGGGATCATTCTGTCTCTCTAACTTACTATTCAGTCAGGTTTGAAAGCAAAGACCAACACAAGCTGAGAGTAATAAGATTATGGAAGAAATATAATGTCATCATTATTAATGCAGTGGATTATGTTACTGGTGGCAAATATAACCAGTAAATCTGCAACAGACCCAGTTTGCAGCCGTGGAAGTTGCTGACTTTAACAAATGAGCTCATACTGCTCTAACACATGGGGAGGAAGACGCTCTCTTAAGACAAAGCAACTAATGAGGCGGCAACACTCCTCATTAACAGAATGAGAATGGACACATGGGCACCACTGTGACTAAGACTGTGGTAACACTTGTCTTCTCAATCCAACTTCTTTCATTGGACACACCACACTGTAAAACCTGATGAGTTAGTTCCACTCCAACTGTTTGAGGACACTGATTGCCCTAAACAGTTTAAATGTATGAACTCCAGCAATTTAAACTAGTAAGTATATGACACTTATATGCAGCATTTCTCCAAACTTATTAAAAATGTGTTAACAGAATGTATCTGAATAAAGTAAGACTAACTTTAATGCATCTTCTTTATACAAATGTTACCACTTGTGTATGTACTCAGTTTTCTTCTAAAGCAAATTATTACCTGTTAAAACAGCTGACCTACGATAAAAAACAATTAATTCATTATCAAAATGGTTGCCAATTAAATTTCTGTAATGAGATAAAGATAAAGATAATGGGAATGAGTGACTTAAAAGTTTAAGAAGGATTAAATTATGTTATCTTACTTCTTTTAAGATAAGATATGCTGTTGATTTACAATGTTCCAAGCCCAAATATAGTCTAAAATGATCAGATATCTGTGCTTTTCCACTGGCATTAGAGGAACTCTGTACTTTCGAAATAACACATGAATGTATCCTTTTAGTTATAGACCTTTAGCTGTTGTTTTCAGTTGGATAATCAAAATCAGATTATGAAAGCTTGATGCTAGGAATTGTTTATTTTGCTCAAAGTCAGACTGAATGCATGTTGAGTAATGTAATTAAATCAACCTTCTGTTCTGGAACCATAAATTGGATGCAAAACTGTCGTCCTGATGTTGTGTAAGCTCCCATTTGCAAGGACAACCAAGGATTACATTTAATTTGGATCCCACAGTTGTGTATTTAATTGTTTTGGAACAGAGGGAGGAAAAAAATTAATGATTCCAGACGACGGCTGCTCTTAATGACATTATGTCATATCATAAAGCTGCAGGTTGCTAAACAGTCACACAGCAAATGATCTGTTGCTGTTTGATTTAGCAGCTGGACGGTTTAGCAAACACTAGATTTTAAAGGCTATAGATGGTGTTATTCTACATTTTCTAACACACAAAACCAGCAATGTGTTAGTCTGTCTCTCAATACTTTCTGACTCTGACCCTACCCCTACGTCTGTGGAGCTCACCCCCGAGCTTTATCTGTCTCTGGCTCCTCCTAGTGCTCCTATTAGTATTTGTGAGAATCCACCACGGCTGAATGAAAACTATGAGCTGATATTTGAATCATTTAAAACTGAATTTGAATCATTTAAAACTGAATCTGAATTGCTCAACTTGAATAATTGCATTAAAAAACTGAATTTGAATTATTAATTAGGAGTCGGCT